AAAAAAAAAAAAAAAAAAAAAAAACTGGCACTTTATATTTCGTCATTTCACTTATTCGTGAAACTCGCGTGGTTTCGATCCTGTGTCAGGCGGTCACCCATTTTTACATCATGTTGTTCAAATGCTTAATTTAAATGCTTAATTTCAACGATCGTACGAGAACTGATGATGTCGATACGCTGTAACGATATCTTGATAGATGATATTTACAATATACTCTTATATCGTTCAAAAAATGTTATGATATTTGTTGATAAATGTTTGACACGACGCAACAACAATCACAATGCAATTAATATTAATATAATATTTAATATAATATAATATTTATATAATGTTGTATCAGTAATCAAATTTTATTAACCTACAACGTGCTCGCAAAAAAGAATATTCCTTTTTTCTCTCTCACAATATTTTGATAGAGTAAAGTTATGATTAGACACTTTTTGTAAGAATTCTAGTTTTACAATATCGTGATAACGATCCTTGCATATATTAAAATATCACATTTTATATACGAGAAACACCTAAAATATAATTTCACATTTGTGTATAAAAATATTGCACAACTAAAAGATAATGCAAACATTAGACTTCTTATATAACATGTTATATTAAAGTTATGTTGCTGTAATATTGTTGGGATAACTTAACCAGTAACATAATAACCAATAACATAATAATATAATAATTTTATAACATAGTTATATCGCAGTTATAAAGCAAATTAAATAACCTCAATATTAATAATACGTTATATTAGGTGGTAAACTTAGTTCCTGCGGCTCACTGTTAGATGACGTTAGTTGTAGATGTAATTTATTTTGACATCTGAAACTGGCTGCATTTTAGAGGTTAGACATTTGTCAATAAAATTTAGTGCGAAGAGATTCATTTAAGCGAGCAGTGCTATTTTTTCTTTTGATTAAATATGGAACGTGATAAGTTGTTTTTTCGACATGTGCTGCTTCATTACTTTGACTTGAAAAAAACTGCAGCTGCAGCTCATAAATTGCTTTTCGAAGCTTATGGCAATTATGCTCCATCGGAAAGAACATGCCAAGTATGGTTTCAGCGATTTAAGAGTGGTGATTTTGATGTCAATGATAAAGAACGCTCAGGCCAACCGAAAAAGTTTGAAGACACCGATTTGCAGGCATTATTGGACGAAAACTCTACTCAAACGCTCCAAGAATTGTCTGCAGCATTAAATGTTACTCCGATGGCTGTTTCCAAACGTCTACATGCAATGGGAAAAATTCAAAAGGAGGGAAAATGGGTACCACACGAATTAACCGCAAATGCCATTGCGAATCGCTTAAACATCTCTATTTCTCTGCTCGCCAGGCAGAAAAAGAAGAGTTTTTTGTGGCGCATAGTGACTGGCGATGAAAAATGGATATACTTCGATAATCCTAAACGAAGAAAATCATGGGTAGACCCTGGCCAACCATCGACATCCACACCAAAGAGAAATATTCATGGCCACAAAGCAATGCTTTGCATTTGGTGGGATATGCACGGCGTCGTTTATTATGAGCTACTCAGACCGAACGAAAGTATCACGGGGGATCGATATCAATCACAATTAAACCGTCTGAATGAAGCATTGTTGGAAAAAAGGCCAGCAGTAGCCAGCAATCGACGTAAAGTCATGCTTTTGCACGACAACGCTCGACCACACGTTGCCAAAGCCGTCAAAGAAACACTGATGCAGCTCGAGTGGGAAGAACTCCCGCACCCAGCGTATTCATCAGACTTAGCTCCTTCGGACTATTACTTGTTCCGGTCGATGCAGTACGGCTTGGTGGATACACACTTCAGAAATTACGAGGATGTGCGAAAATGGATCGACGAATGGATTGCATCAAAAGACCAATCGTTCTATCGTCGCGGAATCTACGCGTTGCCCGAAAAAATGTATAGCTAGCGAGGGAAAATACTTCGATTAATGTATTTTTTGCTTTTGATGTCGAAATAAATGAGTTTTTTAAACAAAAAAACCGCAGGAACTAAATTTACCACCTAATAAATTTACCACCTAATACTTCACATTATCGATATCAAGTCGAGTTGATTTCGCCTTCTCCTAATCCATCCCGTCTCCGGCTTAAAACCCTTGGAGCTGCCGGTCCCGACGGTTTCGGGACACGCGAATTGCGTGTAATTTCCTATCACGGTTATTGTGAGGGGGTGCGGCCTTTCCGCACCTGGCGCCCAACGAATCTTTTTCGACTAGGTGGCGTGAACCGGAGCCGACGGTAGTTTGCTGACGCGGTGGACAGGCGACGGTCGGCCGTCGCTCGCGAAGTTATCTTCGCGAGTAGAGTCGCAATATATATATATATATATATATATATATATATATATATATATATATATATATATATATACCCTGATAGCACAGAAGGTTTCAGTTATGTTGCAGTTCAATGTCTCAATTGTGTATCATCACATTTGTAATGTCTATGAGACTATCGTTTTTGAGACATTGCAATTGCAATATTTCTGCAAACATCTTGATTGAAACGTTTCGTTTGAAATGTTCCTGCAATGTATATATTTTGCAACATTACAAATGCAAAGTTTCTGAAAAGTTTCTGAGACCTTGCAACTAATAAATGCGCGCGCATATCATATTGTCGTGAAATTACCGTAGCGCCGCGATCAACGACCTAACGTACACTGTACCTAACCTACAGCTGTATTGGCCCACGATCTAATCCGAATTTGTTGTA